AAAATATTACGGCGAACATAAAAAATATAACAGATTTTCAAAACAGAAACTATAAATGTGCTGACGTTTTGTATTATATCTATGTATAAGTAAACCATCTTAAATGAATGAAAGCAGCTACAAGTAAGAAAGAAATATTACTAATGTGAATCTGTATAAGTCCTCACAAGCCGATGATGAAAACTGTAATACTAGAGCGAACACACAACTGACGCTATAAATTACATGTCTGAGACGGAAAAAAATGTATTAAGGCAAACATATTGAATAAACTAGTTCTAAATCTAAAAAAAAAAAAACTATAAATGTCATCCGTTTATAATAAAAAAAAACATTAACATTTATTTTGTATTTGTATAGCGTGGAAACAGACAATAATAACCGAAATTACATGACACTTTATACAATATATATTAGATCTCATTTATTCCTTGCAAATTTTATAAACGAGTTCAAGGGAGACAATCTAATTTTTATAACTCTATTGTGCTTAAATAAAAACATTATTTTCTAAATAACGGAACAAGTGTTTTTTATCTGTTAATTGGTGGTAAATAAATATGATGCATAGTAAACAATTAAAAGAAAATTATCTGTTGATTAATTTGAGCAGCTTTTATAAACATATTTCTACTAAAAAAACGTAGTTTTAGTTCAATTCTTTTTTAAAGATATTCGACAACTTTAAGTTTCTGTGTATTCGACCGAGCACATGTTTGAATACATGTGGGTGTTAAATTTATTTTTATTTTTAATAACGTCTAAATAGAAGTTCTAGAGAAGTGCCCCACCTCATCCCTATCCCCCTGCAAGGTCAGTTGGTCGCGGATTATATTTCGCCACGACTGTAGCATTGGTCTGAGCCGAAAGGGCTTACCACTTGTGTTTGTTTCTCAAAATTTTAATTTACCCTTGATGCACTTTGGGTTTTAGGGTATAGTTTTAATTAGATTTTAGTTATTTGAGCGGCGGTCGGATTAATTAAGTGTAGGAAAATGTGGTTTTTAGTCAAATAATATAACTCTTAATATAAATAGTCTTCTCTTTGATGAATAAAAATAACTTCATTGAATGGTGATCGAGTAATAACAAAGGATAACATATTTTATATATCAAGTATAATTACCATTGAATGAACACTATAGCAAGGGAAACAACATTCAGTTTAATTATCAAAGTTGTCGCATAAAAAACACAACATTATAATACTTCTATTTATTTCTTTATAATCAATATGTTAAATATTTTTTTTTGATATACGAAAAATGCTTTTTAGTAATTTGAATTCATTTCTGAATTATAATTGGGCTGTATTAAAAATTTAAAAAAAAATTCAAAACAGACTAATGCACTCACACACATGTTGTTGTAATTTGTCTTAATTGAAGAAAAACACCCCAAAACAATGACATTTTTTTTCAAAATCCGATCAGGCCAGAAATGAGTATCCTACGTTCGTATTCTGTGTTGGTATATATATATATATATATATATATATATATATATATATATATATATATATATATATATATATATATATATATATATATATATATATATATATTCTGGGGGCCCAGAAATTGTTTTTGCGGGGTGGCCCTTTTTTCTAGTTCCGCCACTGCTCTATCTGGGAATATATATAACTAAATCTTTGATTGTTATGATCCCAATAGTAAAGTTCCCCGTACAAACCACATGGCAGATGAAGTAAAGATTATGTTTAGTTAAGGTTATGTTTCTTCTTCTCGGCATATGAAGTGTATATGGTGTGATCAGCCCAGCCCAGTCGCCTTTACATTTCCTAGTCAGAAACCTATAAGAGTTCGGAGCGAGATCCGACCTCAAGACCGTTGGGCTAGCTGTCAACGCTCTACACCCAACCACGGCGTTCCAAGATTAGAGTAACGAAAAAAGTATTTGAAAAAGAAAACAAGTTAATAAAAAGTCTAGTGACAATTTAAGCGCAATTTCCTTATGTTATCCATAACAATTTTTAATTTTTTGTGACCGAACGAAAGGATATTTTTTTGCGCTAAAAACCTACACGATGCTCAGTTTCAATTAAAAATATCATCATAGACCTACAGTTTAAAAATTCTTAATTAATTTTTTGTGACCGAACGAAAGGATATTTTTGAAAAATTTCTTCGGCAATATTGTTCTAAATTATGGCAGGAATCGATTGGTAAATGTTTCAAGTCGCTAAATGGTCTGGTTGCCGAGATATGGGCCAAAAACTGCATTTTTTAAAGGTTTTTTGGCTTTTGTGGGAAATCCAGGAGGAATTCCGGGAATTTTTTTGGCCCACAATCATCCTCGGAACTTGCTTAACATATTTGCTTTGGAACTAGTCCTCGATATTGCTTCGCTGAGGAGGAGATACGACTTAAAGCTGCGGACACACATCCATCCATCCATTCATTCATTCATCCATCCAGAAATGACGAGTTAATAATCGCAATGGTCCGTATGGAAATTGCGCTAAAAACTCTTGTATCAATCCAAGGGAGTTAACAAGCTAAATGCCGAAAGATAACACATTTACATGTTTCATTCCCCTTATGGGTATGCTTTAAATATTTAAAAAAATACGACGTTTGTGTGATAATGTAACCTTACCAGAGGCGTAGCGAGGGGGAAAATTTTGAGGGGGGTGCAAACCGAAAGTTTGAAGGGGGGGGGTGCAAATCGAAAATTTAAAAGTTTGTCCCCGGGAAGGGTCGCTACGCCCCTAGGGGGGGGGGGGGGGTGACACCATTAAGTGCCGCACCGGGTGACACCCGACATCGCTACGCAACTGAACCTTACGTAAACAAAAAATTAGAAAAATAATTTATGTTAATACTAGTTGCAAAGATTGTCTGATCTCAGACAAAACCTTTTATTTTAATCTTATGTTTCGTAAGATTCCCCTGTTGTCTAGGTTAAGTCCTAAGGATAACGTTTCATGGAAACAACATGGAATGAAAACTTGAACTAATATTTCATACATGTAACAGGCTGTATTCTTGGATATGGTTTATTATATTGTACTAGCCGGCCCGCGGCATAACATACGCCGCTATTTAGTTGTTGTTTTTTCATAATTTGTGAATTCGACAGTACCAACGCTGAAACTGAAAATATTTCTTTAAAACACTATAAGTAGCTCGTTAAGGACCATAACCCCCCAACCCCCCCTCTTCCTCCCCATCCCCCCCCCCCCCCAACGTTTAAAATCGTTTCAAACTAAATTATCTGCCCCTAATAGCCGTCACTAAACCCGACTCCACGAAGGTAAACATAGCGTGAACCACAGCTCACTAAGACCATGTAGGGGTGGGGATGGTGGGGAGCGCGTTTACAGCTTGTTTTCTTGCGTATCCCAGAAGAGAATTATATATAGAGATTTAACATGAGGTTGTATGAATGTAGAGTACCTGGCGAACGGAAGGACTAGGTGAGCGACTAGTCATGTTTTTCCATGCTTTTGTGAGATCGCTCACTGGCGTTAGGGGAGAGAATGAAGGATATAAAAGGGGAGCGCAGGGGGACTAAGTGCCTGTGTAGAAGAATGTTGTAAGCTGTCACCACGTCACTGGATTATATTTTGATTGCGGTTATTTCACTATGGATTGTCATTATTAATTTCTATGGATTTATTTTATCAATGTGAATTAATTTTGTAAGCTGGAAGAACTGTCGTTCGTATTCATTAAAGAACTCACAATAACACACTATTGTCTCATCTACAAATACGCGTTGTTACAATACACATTTAGGAATATTAAAGTTTTAAGTTTCTCTTTCGGTGGGTGGTGGGGGTAAATCGGGGGGCGGACTTAAATTTCTAGGGGAGAGGAGGCGGACACTGGCTCAAGAGCATATTTTGTATATAAATGTTATCTTTCAGTTTCTTCCAGGCATCTCTTCGGTGGAGGGGCGGCAGAGCCCCCCCCCCCCCTCGATGAAAGTCTACCGCCCCCCGAACGAGATGGATTTTATATAATAAACATACACTTTTACTAGTGTCCGCCCCCCCCCCGAAAAATGTTGACCGCCCCCCCCCCCAAAAAAAATTTTTCAAGGCCCCACCCCCCCCCCCCCCCACCCCCCCATCCGAGAAAAGTCTGGAAGAAACACTGAATGTTATTTTGTTCGAGCGGTGGGGCGGGGTTGGGTGAGGAGCTGTAATTCCACTTACCTACGTTTCAGTTAGGTTGAAGAAATTTTATATATAAGTATAATATCAAATTTGCAGTTTTCTTTCAACTTTTGGGCAAGTCCATTAACACTAAGTTGTAGACCTACTTGCTCCCATTCCGGTTTCTCAAAAGTTCAAATGTTGAATTGTCAAAATAGTCAGTACATGTGTTAGGCTATGTTGTCACAAAGTTGGTCAGTGTAAGTGAATTGTCACAAGATTGGTCAGTTCAAACGATGCCTTTTGACAAAGTTGGTTAGTACAGATGTTTTCACAATGTTGATCAGTACAAATTTTGACTTATCACAACATATTCAGTACAAGTTTTGCGTTGTTACAAAGCTGATCACTTCATGTTTTGAATTGTCACAAAGCTGGCCACTTAAAGAGTTGTCACAAATCTGATCTGCAGATGTGTTGCGTTGCTACATAATTAGTTAATACAAATGTTTTCATAACGGCAGACAGTACCAATGTTGAGGTGGCACAAAGTTGGTCAGTACAAGGGAGTTATGACAAAGTTGGTCAGTACAAGTGAGTTATAACAAAGTTGGTCAGCACAAGGGAGTTATGACAAATCCTTTCAGTACAAAGGTTTAGTTTTCACGAATATGTTCAGTACAAAGATTTAGGTTTTCACGAATATGTTCAGTACAAAGGTTGACGTTTTCACGAATGTTTTCAGTGCAAGTGTTGAATTTTCACAAATATTTTCAGTACAAGTATTTATATTTCACAAAATGTAATCGCACAGCCAATAATGACAGGATACAACCTATTTTTTTAAAATACTTTAATTTCAAATTTTTCGTGTTAAATTAATACAAATTGTACAATCAATTAAAAATCATTAAAAGTGTATACAAAGTATACAACATGCTGTAACTAATTAGCCCTGAGGCAACAGAAAAACAGTTTGCATCCTAATGCTAATTTCACTATCCCTACATGCATTTAATTCGTAACTTGTATACAAATTTCATGACGACATAATCTAAAAATGTTTTTGTAAGTGCTACTTATTAATTACGTGGCTCAACGTGTGAGTATGTTATATGTGTGTGTCCGTTTGTCTGTGCGTTCGTGGGAGGTGGGGGCAGATTTACTGGCTTATCCCAAGTTATCGCTGCTATTTTTCCAATATCATGTTTTTTTTAAAGCTGGATAGATTCATGCATATACAATGGACATATTCAAAAAAAAAAAGAAAGATAAAATAAACCTAAAAAACGCAAGCATAGTTCTAATGTACGCACAACAGTAATGGCTCCATTTCACCTTTTCAACCATCTCACAGCAGTAAACTGTCTTGTCCGTTTGTTTGTGAGCCTAGGAAGATCTAGAGAAACACAACTAGTTTAGACCTTCTGGGAAAAACATTTTCAAATACAATTCAGCAAAGTAAACTAGTTATTATAACATGTGAACCTCCGCGTTTTAACAAATAGAAAACCTAGGACGATGTGGTGAATTTTTACGGTATTCAAAATAGAATTTTGTCTTGAGAGTATGAATTAAGTATCACAACAATTCATCAACAGACTTTACAATGTACGAGGGTTTTTCAACCGATAGTCGGTCAACCAGATTTTGGTGTCTCTATTTTGTCGGTAGACTAAATATTGTGACAGGACAAATATTAGTATACCCCAAACGTCATCGTAGAAAAAATGTCGTGGTAGACCAAATGTTGGTAGACAAAATGTCGTAGTAGACAAAATTTCATGTCAGGCCAAATGTCGATTTACTGAATGTCGGGTTAGACCAAAATGTCGCGGCAGGCATTTTTTAGATATTGCAGTATTTTGACAAGACCTGTTTCCACGTCTAGAATTATGTCACTGTTTATCTTTTGTCTAGTCTTTAAACACACTGTTGTTGGCTGACGAAGACCTTGGGCCGTAACGTCCATTATACCAGTAATTGTGTTTAATTTGTGAGTATACTAACACTACCTGTTTTATTACTATTTACATAAACCTCATTTCCAAATGCTTGTAGACCAAATGTTTACAGATCAAATGTATTTTGGTAGACAAAATGTTTGTTTGTAGACCAAATGTTTGTAGACCAAATATTTTAGGCAAAATTACATAGACAAAATGTCTGTAGACGGATTGACATGGAATTTTTTTCTTTTAAAGATAAAATTTACAATCTGATTGTGAATAAATTGTGTTTTATCAGTGTAAATTTTTAATCGTTGTCTTATCCGCTAGAAAAGGGAGAACATCACGTTAAAAAAATGTCTTAAGCCTGGGTGTAGTACTCGAGTCTTTCAGGTTAGTAATCGTGAGCTCTACTCCCATCAAGCCTGGGTGTAGTACTCGAGTCTCTCAGGTGAGTAATCATGAGCTCTACTCCCGCTCACGTCAATCCCAGGTGTGGTACTCGAGTCTCTCAGGTGAGTAATCGTAAGCTCTACTCACGTCAAGCCTGGGTGTGGTACTTGAGTCTCTCAGGTGAGTAATAGTGAGCTCTACTCACCGCTCACGTCAAGCCTGGGTGTGGTACTCGAGTCTCTCAGGTGAGTAATCGTGAGCTCTACTCCCGCTCACGTCAAACCCAGGTGTGGTACTCGAGTCTCTCAGGTGAGTAATCGTGAGCTCTACTCCCCCAACACGTCAAGCCTGGGTGTGGTACTCGAGTCTCTCAGGTGAGTAATCGTGAGCTCTACTCCCCGCTCACGTCAAGCCTGGGTGTGGTACTCGAGTCTCTCAGGTGAGTAATCGTGAGCTCTACTCACGTCAAGCCTGGGTGTGGTACTCGCGTCTCTCAGGTGAGTAATCGTGAGCTCTACTCACGTCAAGCCTGGGTGTGGTACTCGAGTCTCTCAGGTGAGTAATCGTGAGCTCTACTCACCGCTCACGTCAAACCTGGGTGTGGTACTCGAGTCTCTCAGGTGAGTAATCGTAAGCTCTACTCACGTCAAGCCTGGGTGTGGTACTCGAGTCTCTCAGGTGAGTAATCGTAAGCTCTACTCACGTCAAGCCTGGGTGTGGTACTCGAGTCTCTCAGGTGAGTAATCGTGAGCTCTACTCCCCCAACACGTCAAGCCTGGGTGTGGTACTCGAGTCTCTCAGGTGAGTAATCGTGAGCTCTACTCATCGCTCACGTCAAACCTGGGTGTGGTACTCGAGTCTCTCAGGTGAGTAATCGTGAGCTCTACTCCCCGCTCACGTCAAGTCTGGGTGTGGTACTCGAGTCTCTCAGGTGAGTAATCGTGAGCTATACTCACGTCAAGCCTGGGTGTGGTACTCGAGTCTCTCAGGTGAGTAATCGTGAGCTCTACTCCCCGCTCACGTCAAGTCTGGGTGTGGTACTCGAGTCTCTCAGGTGAGTAATCGTGAGCTCTACTCCCATCAAGCCTGGGTGTGGTACTCGAGTCTCTCAGGTGAGTAATCGTGAGCTCTACTCACGTCAAGCCTGGGTGTGGTACTCGAGTCTCTCAGGTGAGTAATCGTGAGCTATACTCACGTCAAGCCTGGGTGTGGTACTCGAGTCTCTCAGGTGAGTAATCGTGAGCTCTACTCCCGCTCACGTCAATCCCAGGTGTGGTACTCGAGTCTCTCAGGTGAGTAATCGTGAGCTCTACTCCCCGCTCACGTCAAGCCTGGGTGTGGTACTCGAGTCTCTCAGGTGAGTAATCGTGAGCTATACTCCCCTCTCACATCAAGCCTGGGTGTGGTACTCGAGTCTCTCAGGTGAGTAATCGTGAGCTATACTCACGTCAAGTCTGGGTGTGGTACTCGAGTCTCTCAGGTGAGTAATCGTGAGCTATACTCACGTCAAGCCTGGGTGTGGTACTCGAGTCTCTCAGGTGAGTAATCGTGAGCTCTACTCCCCGCTCACGTCAAGCCTGGGTGTGGTACTCGAGTCTCTCAGGTGAGTAATCGTGAGCTCTACTCACGTCAAGCCTGGGTGTGGTACTTGAGTCTCTCAGGTGAGTAATAGTGAGCTCTACTCACCGCTCACGTCAAGCCTGGGTGTGGTACTCGAGTCTCTCAGGTGAGTAATCGTGAGCTCTACTCCCCGCTCACGTCAAGCCTGGGTGTGGTACTCGAGTCACTCAGGTGAGTAATCGTGAGCTCTACTCCCCCAACACGTCAAGCCTGGGTGTGGTACTCGAGTCTCTCAGGTGAGTAATCGTGAGCTCTACTCCCCTCTCACATCAAGCCTGGGTGTGGTACTCGAGTCTCTCAGGTGAGTAATCGTGTGCTCTACTCACGTCAAGCCTGGGTGTGGTACTCGAGTCTCTCAGGTGAGTAATCGTGAGCTATACTCACGTCAAGCCTGGGTGTGGTACTCGAGTCTCTCAGGTGAGTAATCGTGAGCTATACTCACGTCAAGTCTGGGTGTGGTACTCGAGTCACTCAGGTGAGTAATCGTGAGCTCTACTCCCCGCTCACGTCAAGCCTGGGTGTGGTACTCGAGTCTCTCAGGTGAGTAATCGTGAGCTCTACTCACGTCAAGCCTGGGTGTGGTACTCGAGTCTCTCAGGTGAGTAATCGTGAGCTCTACTCACCGCTCACGTCAAGTCTGGGTGTGGTACTCGAGTCTCTCAGGTGAGTAATCGTGAGCTCTACTCCCCGCTCACGTCAAGCCTGGGTGTGGTACTCGAGTCTCTCAGAAAAGTAATCGTGAACTCTACTCACGCCAAGCCTGGGTGTGGTACTCGAGTCTCTCAGGTGAGTAATCGTGAGCTCTACTCACGTCAAGCCTGGGTGTGGTACTCGGGTCTCTCAGGTGAGTAATCGTGAGCTCTACTCACGCCAAGCCTGGGTGTGGTACTTGAGTCTCTCAGGTGAGTAATCGTGAGCTCTACTCCCGCTAACGTCAATCCCAGGTGTGGTACTCGAGTCTCTCAGGTGAGTAATCGTGAGCTATACTCCCCTCTCACATCAAGCCTGGGTGTGGTACTCGAGTCTCTCAGGTGAGTAATCGTGAGAACTACTCACGTCAAACCTGGGTGTGGTACTCGAGTCTCTCAGGTGAGTAATCGTGAGCTATACTCACGTCAAGCATGGGTGTGGTACTCGAGTCTCTCAGGTGAGTAATCGTGAGCTCTACTCCCCGCTCACGTCAAGCCTGGGTGTGGTACTCGAGTCTCTCAGGTGAGTAATCGTGAGCTCAACTCACGTCAAGCCTGGGTGTGGTACTCGAGTCTCTCAGGTGAGTAATCGTGAGCTCTACTCCCCGCTCACGTCAAGCCTGGGTGTGGTACTCGAGTCTCTCAGGTGAGTAATCGTGAGCTATACTCACGTCAAGCCTGGGTGTGGTACTCGAGTCTCTCAGGTGAGTAATCGTGAGCTATACTCACGTCAAGTCTGGGTGTGGTACTCGAGTCTCTCAGGTGAGTAATCGTGAGCTATACTCACGTCAAGCCTGGGTGTGGTACTCGAGTCTCTCAGGTGAGTAATCGTGAGCTCTACTCCCCGCTCACGTCAAGCCTGGGTGTGGTACTCGAGTCACTCAGGTGAGTAATCGTGAGCTCTACTCACGTCAAGCCTGGGTGTGGTACTTGAGTCTCTCAGGTGAGTAATCGTGAGAACTACTCACGTCAAACCTGGGTGTGGTACTCGAGTCTCTCAGGTGAGTAATCGTGAGCTCTACTCATGTCAAGCATGGGTGTGGTACTCGAGTCTCTCAGGTGAGTAATCGTGAGCTCTACTCCCCGCTCACGTCAAGCCTGGGTGTGGTACTCGAGTCTCTCAGGTGAGTAATCGTGAGCTCAACTCACGTCAAGCCTGGGTGTGGTACTCGAGTCTCTCAGGTGAGTAATCGTGAGCTCTACTCCCCGCTCACGTCAAGCCTGGGTGTGGTACTCGAGTCTCTCAGGTGAGTAATCGTGAGCTCAACTCACGTCAAGCCTGGGTGTGGTACTCGAGTCTCTCAGGTGAGTAATCGTGAGCTCTACTCCCCGCTCACGTCAAGCCTGGGTGTGGTACTCGAGTCTCTCAGGTGAGTAATCGTGAGCTCTACTCCCCGCTCACGTCAAGCCTGGGTGTGGTACTCGAGTCTCACAGGTGAGTAATCGTGAACTCTACTCACGTCAAGCCTGGGTGTGGTACTCGAGTCTCTCAGGTGAGTAATCGTGAACTCTACTCACGTCAAGCCTGGGTGTGGTACTCGAGTCTCTCAGGTGAGTAATCGTGAGCTCTACTCTCTACTCACGTCAAGCCTGGGTGTGGTACTCGAGTCTCTCAGGTGAGTAATCGTGAACTCTACTCACGTCAAGCCTGGGTGTGGTACTTGAGTCTCTCAGGTGAGTAATCGTGAACTCTACTCACGTCAAGCCTGGGTGTGGTACTCGAGTCTCTCAGGTGAGTAATCGTGAGCTCTACTCACGTCAAGCCTGGGTGTGGTACTCGAGTCTCTCAGGTGAGTAATCGTGAGCTATACTCACGTCAAGCCTGGGTGTGGTACTCGAGTCTCTCAGGTGAGTAATCGTGAGCTCTACTCCCCGCTCACGTCAAGTCTGGGTGTGGTACTCGAGTCTCTCAGGTGAGTAATCGTGAGCTCTACTCACGTCAAGCCTGAGTGTGGTACTCGAGTCTCTCAGGTGAGTAATCGTGAGCTCTACTCCCATCAAGCCTGGGTGTGGTACTCGAGTCTCTCAGGTGAGTAATCGTGAGCTCTACTCCCCCAACACGTCAAGCCTGGGTGTGGTACTCGAGTCTCTCAGGTGAGTAATAGTGAGCTCTACTCACGTCAAGCCTGGGTGTGGTACTTGAGTCTCTCAGGTGAGTAATAGTGAGCTCTACTCCCATCAAGCCTGGGTGTGGTACTCGAGTCTCTCAGGTGAGTAATCGTGAGCTCTACTCCCATCAAGCCTGGGTGTGGTACTCGAGTCTCTCAGGTGAGTAATCGTGAGCTCTACTCCCCCAACACGTCAAGCCTGGGTGTGGTACTCGAGTCTCTCAGGTGAGTAATAGTGAGCTCTACTCACGTCAAGCCTGGGTGTGGTACTTGAGTCTCTCAGGTGAGTAATAGTGAGCTCTACTCATCGCTCACGTCAAGCCTGGGTGTGGTACTCGAGTCTCTCAGGTGAGTAATCGTGAGCTCTACTCACGTCAAGCCTGGGTGTGGTACTTGAGTCTCTCAGGTGAGTAATAGTGAGCTCTACTCACCGCTCACGTCAAGCCTGGGTGTGGTACTCGAGTCTCTCAGGTGAGTAATCGTGAGCTCTACTCACCGCTCACGTCAAGCCTGGGTGTGGTACTCGAGTCTCTCAGGTGAGTAATCGTGAGCTCTACTCACGTCAAGCCTGGGTGTGGTACTCGAGTCTCTCAGGTGAGTAATCGTAAGCTCTACTCACGTCAAGCCTGGGTGTGGTACTTGAGTCTCTCAGGTGAGTAATAGTGAGCTCTACTCACCGCTCACGTCAAGCCTGGGTGTGGTACTCGAGTCTCTCAGGTGAGTAATCATGAGCTCTACTCCCCTCTCACATCAAGCCTGGGTGTGGTACTCGAGTCTCTCAGGTGAGTAATCGTGAGCCCTACTCACGTCAAGCCTGGGTGTGGTACTCGAGTCTCTCAGGTGAGTAATCGTGATCTCTACTCACGTCAAGCCTGAGTGTGGTTCTCGGGTCTCTCAGGTGAGTAATCGTGATCTCTACTCACGTCAAGCCTGAGTGTGGTACTCGGGTCTCTCAGGTGAGTAATCGTGAGCTCTACTCACGTCAAGCCTGGGTGTGGTACTCGGGTCTCTCAGGTGAGTAATCGTGAGCTCTACTCCCCGCTCACGTCAAGCCTGGGTGTGGTACTCGGGTCTCTCAGGTGAGTAATCGTGATCTCTACTCACGTCAAGCCTGAGTGTGGTACTCGGGTCTCTCAGGTGAGTAATCGTGAGCTCTACTCCCCGCTCACGTCAAGCCTGGGTGTGGTACTCGGGTCTCTCAGGTGAGTAATCGTGAGCTCTACTCACGTCAAGCCTGGGTGTAGTACTCGAGTCTCTCAGGTGAGTAATCGTGAGCTCTACTCCCCGCTCACGTCAACGATACCACCTATATCGGTGCTAGTTAAGTATGGTACATTCATTGAAAAATAATATAAATAATTTAATTTAGAAACAAACTTTTAAATAATATTAAATAACCATCCAATATTTCTGTAAAAAATATGGCTATTTCTACGATCATGGTGTATATAGTTTTTATTTACAAAATACAACGGTTATTGAAGCGCGCGCAAAAATGCAATGTGCTATCCTTTTCTGTTCAGTTTATATTTTCTAAAAAAGCATTAATTGAATCAACAAATAGCGAATACTGCTGTTATTAGCACTTTAAATACTTTCACTGTAATAATTCCAATGTTTGTAGGTTAACCCAGTACATTTCAAAATACTTCTCATTTACTACAGTAAGGTATTATATGATGAGTTATGGGACTGCGTGGTCAAGTTGTACAGAGCTCGACTGCTAACACGAAAGGTTCGAGTTCGGTTCCCGTATTGGATCAAACGGACGTCCCTGAGCTTACTCATGTCTAAAGAGTACCTGATAAATTAAGAAAGTAAAAACAAGTTGGGAATAGAACTGTATAGCATTCACTTGCCATCGTCGCAGATACAATTGAACTCTACTTGACCCATAGTGCAGCATTACATGGTTGTATGAAGTATTACATAGCACGAAATCTTTGACTAATGACTTTAGTGATATATCTTTTGCCTATCTAACAGCAATAGAGCTATTCACAATATCTATAATATAATGGTAGATATTAGCCAGCAAGCAGACGGAAAAACTAGTGTACACAACTCTTATAAATACATACATTCTTCTAGTGTACTCACGGCTGGTACATACCTTCTAGTGTACTCACGACTGATACATACCTTCTTCTAGTGTACACACGGCTGATACATACCTTCTAGTGTACACATGGCTGATACATACCTTCTAGTGTACACACGACTGATACATACCTTCTAGTGTACACACGGCTGATACATACCTTCTAGTGTACACATGGCTGATACATACCTTCTAGTGTACACACGACTGATACATACCTTCTAGTGTACACATGACTGATACATACCTTCTAGTGTACTCACGGCTGATACATACCTTCTAGTGTACACACGGCTGCTACATACCTTCTAGTGTACACATGACTGATACATACCTTTTAGTGTACACATGACTGATACATACCTTCTAGTGTACTCGCGGCTGATACATACCTTCTAGTGTTCACACGGTTGTTACGTACCTTCTTCTAGTGTACACACTACTGATACATACCTTCTAGTGTACACAAGACTGATACATACCTTTTTCTAGAAACTGTCTGATGATCGTTTGGGGAAGGACATAGTAATCACCCCAATCGACGTTGATGGATTCAAACTCCTCATATTCTCAGACTTTATCCTCTTTCTACTCCTCGTCGCCCCCCTCTTCCTCATCTTCTCATTCTTTTTCTTACCCGCATCACATTCTTGTCCTTCATTAACCTTATCATCTTTTTCCTTCTCTTCTATATTTTCTTCTTTCTTCTCCTTTAACTGTTCATTCTTCTCTCCAACCTCTTTCAGTTCTTCGAAGGTTTCCCCCACACTGTTCCCCTCAATCGCCAACATGCTTGCATGTCGCTTATCTTCTACCGTACGGGCTCTTCCTTCTTTTGCTCTTTCCATTGTCTCAGCTCGCAAACGCTGAACCCTCTCCACCGCTCGATCTGTTAACCTTTTAGTAGACTGATGAAATTTACTGAGTGCACAATTGTCAGTGTTAAGCACCGTGGACATCGCACGCTGGTTGCCTTCAATCGCCAGCATCGCCCTGGGGTTAAAGTTAAAATAATTATTTCATGTGTTAAATACTTTTAAACAATATTAGGTATAAAGGACATCCATACATTTTTAAATGTCTTTTTCTCAATGATTAGTTACGTAACTTTTTCACTGTTACGTGAGGTTATTTAGGTGGATGATTTAATGTTAAACTGTCACATAACTACTAGAGCTGAGCTAATTTACACACGCAAAAATTTCTAAACTTTCAGTCATCTGGCGAAGAATATACCGATTAGCGACATGCGTACACATTTACATACATACATACAACCACCGCGACACGCATCGATGCATACATTCAACAATGTGACGCGGATTGTCTACAACGAAAATGTGTAGGCACGGAGAGATTGTGTGTGTGAGTAGTCTCCCCTTGACAGTGGTGTGCTAGCGGCACAAAGTGTGTGAACGAGGCAGTGTGTGAAAATTATGGTGTGGCGTCAACATCCTGTACCTAATCGTCAGTTTTTCTTCTTGTCGTGTGTTCTTGTGATTGGTGAAAATTATACCTCAATGATACAGATTCTCGCAGAGGCGTAGCGACCCTTCCCGGCGCCCGGGGGCAAACTTTCAATTTGCACCCCCCTCAAACTTTCAACTTGTTTTTCCAACCCATTTTGGCGCCCCCTAAGGTCGGCGCCCGGGGACATATGTCGCCCCCGCCCCCCCCCCCTCGCTACGCCTCTGGATTCTCGTTGTGGATTGTATTTATTTATAATTGTACCACCTATCCCAAACGAGCCAAAAATATAAAAGAAGTCGAGTGTAACATGTAACAATCACAAACACAGACATACATACTTACATACATATAAATTTACAGACACGGGAGTTTTATAATATAGGGTATTAAAACAGTATGTATATTACCTAAAGGAAAATTCTTAAATAGGGTAGCATCAAAGATGTTGTGCTATTAAGGGAAGATGTTAACTCAATCACGCTGACCAACACTAGCTACTTACGTTTTCTTGCTATGTGTGTCAGTTGCGTTGTTTAAGGCGGAGTTGGGAATATTGGCAGCACTTCCATGGTTATTACTTGCATTGGGCATAAGTGCACTGGGCAAAACTCCACTGGGCAAAAGTCCACTGGGAAAAAGTCCACTGGGCAAAACTCCACTGGGCATATTTCCACTAGGCAAAAGTCCACTGGGCACAAATCCACTGGGCAAAAGTCCACAGGGCATACGTCCACTGGGCATAAGTCCACAGGGCATAAGTTCACTGGGCACAACACCATTGGCCACATTGTTCACAACACAGTTAAAGTAACTGTTCTTTATGTTCTTATTGGTGTCCGGGACTCCACCCACGTGACTGTTCCCACCCCCGCTGTACTGACCCAAGTTGTTAACGACGCAGTTCTCGAACGTGCTGCTGACCAATCCTGCGGCCCCATCATTTGGTGAGTAGCTTTCATGGGGAACAGCTGGGTTTTCAAACATTTCGGGGAAATTGTATCCGGCGGGGGTGTTGTCCACTGTACGGCACACAGAATTCTGTGCTGGCGTAGGGGTTGCTGATACCGCGCTACGAAGTTCCATGTAAGAAGCGGACGAAAACTGGTATACAACGGCTAAATCTAGATATCAAAGTATATGTATTTATATAAACATAAATATATGTATGTGTAGTCCTATGTGTGCATATATGTATACATATATAATTATATATATATATATATATATATATATATATATATATATATATATATATATATATATATATATATATATATATATATATATATATATATATATATATATATATTGTGTTTACAAAATCGAGCTTTATTTCAGATGGTTTGTCCATAAGAAAGTCACAATGTAAATAGTAAACCAATTTTCAAACATACAATTTTTCAAAACGATTCATTTTGATATCTTTGAAAGCTTACATTTTATTTTTTTTATTTTAAAAGTCAAAGGTATATGCTCAATTACACTCTCGAATGGAATAATGTTTACAGTTTTTACAAGCTTTTATTTAACTCACTTCCTCTGTCTGTCGTCATTCTGTCTAGGGTGAATATCAGTATAACAGATCATGTAAGTAAATATATGTACAACAGATCGTGTAAACGAATATCTGTTTAAAAGATCATGTAAGTGAATATCTGTATAACAGATCATGTAAGTGAATATCTGTATACAGATATAACAGATCATGTAAGTGTAGGTCTGTATAACAGATCAGCAGTAGCCACGCTTCAGGCCTGCATTATGCATACATCAAGCTTTCCTGGCACCCATTTCTGAAGGCTGATCAATCAAATGTTCTAGGTATTTTTACTACTTTATTGCACATAATTCTAATTACAAATCATGTTTTACAAATTATTGCTTACTTTATGCACATTTTAAAAAATACTACTGTGTTTTGTATATGTCCATTAAACATAACCACTATTCACTGCACACAACTTTTTTTATTGTTCAACGGTGTAATAAACTATAGTTTACAAGTCCGCCATAGTGGTTTCGGAATAAATGCTGGCGATTTATTGTCGTTTTTAATAGTCTACTTCAAAGACGAAATAATTGTTAACACTAATGTTTCCTCCATATAGCTTGATAATAAAATCGAAAGAGGATTTTTAACAGTTGTTCAAATTTATTTTGCTAAAACTTTTAACGGAAATTGCATGTCATATAATGGTTTAAACAGTTGGTCTTTACACATTTACACTACAAAAAAACAAAACAAAACAACAAACAAAAGAATATTTATTAATTACCTTTAAAAAAAGCCTTGTTGATAGATCTAATCTATGTCACGTCATCATTTTGTACGTAGGTTTAAAAAAGTGCATTGCGCATTTTCGGTGCGCTTTTCTCCTATACTATTCTACTCTTAATTATTACACAGCTAGGTACATTTAATCTAATATATAAAGCTCAGTTCTGTATGTAATGCATATGTTTGTCGTTGGAATTGGATGAATTTAAGTGTTAGAAAATTATCGTGCGCATTTGTCTAAATTTATGAGCTAAAAAATTACTATTGAAAGTGTTGGGAAATAATTTTCATTTTTCAAATTATAGTAATAATTGTCGGCATGTTCATTAAACACAAGTTTTAAAAAAAATATCATCTTTTACAAAAATTCTAATTATGTCTTTATTTAGTCCTATAGCACTTACTTCCCTTTGATAAATTAGGAAAACAAAATTACTTCCCTTTATAAAACCATTGCATTTTGTGGAAAATAATTTACTTTTTAATTACTTTGTTTTGGTGTTGGGAAAAAAATAATAATTACATAATCAGCGGGGATTGATCAAGTGCAAATGTTGTAGGTATTTTACGGATAAGCTTGGAGTATTAAAATTGTTCATTAAATTGAAACAGGCGCGTTCGTTTAAGTGAGTGCAAAAGACTATGAATAAGTTGGGGTACTATAGTCGTTCATTAAGCTAAAACAGGTGATTCCGCCCCGGGCGTTTATGTTCGCGTTAGTGTTTTCTTTGTGTTTAGGTGGGTTTGCGTTAGTGGTTGCGTTTTGATTTGGTTCGTTTTTGTTCTTTCTTTTTCGTTTTTGTTTGTGTTTTTTTTCTTTGGGTTTGTATGTGTGTTTTTGGTTGGTTTTGCGTTTGTATTTGGTTTGTTTTCGTTTGCTTTTTCGTTGTTTTTTTTTGTTGGTACTGGTGTTTGTGGTTGGGTTTGTTGTTAGGTTTTTGTTTTCGTTTGCTTTTTTGTTTGTTTTTTCTTTGTGTTTGTATTGGTGTTTGTGGTTGTGGTTGGGTTTGTTGTTAGGTTTTTGTTTTCGTTTGTATTTGTAATTGTGTTAGCGTTATTTTGCGTTTTACTGTTTTGGTTGGTTGTGGTTTGGGTGGGCAATGCCGGGTTTATGATGATTACTAAACACACAGGCAATGGTCTTTAACAGAAAGGTTTTTTCACAGAAGCCAGAGCAGGGCCTGGCCGGGACGGCTAGTTTTAAATATTTATTGGATACTTAAGTATGTACATTGAAGAGCAATACACACAAAATAAACCGTGAGTGAACTCCCCTAAACTTTCTCGAATATTCTTATATAACACTACGGGGGATGGCACCTCGGGAAATAGACACTATTTTTAAACCATTTTTAATCACTTAAACTTTATTAAAATAGAATAGAATCGCGTAAAAAAAAAAGAATTGCGCACCATGTCAACGCCAAACAATATGTGTATAATAGTGCGAAATATGATTCGTACTTTATAAATTTATTTTTTGAGAAATCTGAAATAGCGTAAATTACTACTTCCAGTCAACGCAAATTACTCAAAATTTGACGGAAAGCAGGGAATTAGATCTTTTACTTAGGAAAGTAGAAAAAGTTCCACTTCCGGTTATCGGAAATTGATACAGATCTACAAATTCGATGTTATACATATATATGAAATTTTATCAACCTAGCTGTAACTGTACTCAGGTTATCGTATTTACGCACACACACACGCACACACGCACAGACATACGACAAGATTGCAAAACTATGTTTTTCCGACTCAGGGAGGTGTAAATCGTCGAGATTTTTTTTTTTGCACGATTGCAATACTTTCTCTGTACTGCGTATACGAGAAAATAAAAATAACTACAAAACAGTTTCTTTACAAAAATGCTGGGATTACAAACAACATGGTCTTTCTCTATTTATCTTTCTGACTTAATTGATATATGGAAAGATTTTGTGATGAGAGGTGAATTTATCTTCGCACCCATTGGTTTGGTTATCGTGGTGGAGAAGAGCTTAGTTTCTTCCAGGCATCTCTTCGGGGGGGGGGCGGAAATTTTTTTTATCGCCCCCCACCCCCCCGAACGAAATGAAATTTATATAATTTGTATAGAAAATATATACTTTTAACAGTGTCCGCCCCCCCCCCCCCCCACCGAAGAAAGTTTAGCGCCTCCCGCCTCCCCGGAATTTTCAAGTGCCGCCCCCCCCCCCCCCCGGAGAAAAAAGTCTGGAAGAAACACT